GGTGGGGGGAGACGGACATGAATCTGGGCGCACTGTGGGGAGAGATGGGCGCAAATGCGAGCACGCAGGGGGAAGAGACAGACACAAATGCTGGCCACGGGGGGTGGGGGAGAGACGGGCGTGAACGCGGGTGCGCTGGGGGTGGAGAGACGGGGGCAATTGTGCTGGGAGGGGAGGTGGCTGAGATCACGGTTGCACTCATGCAGGAAAGACGGGCGTGCTCTCGGCCATCTCCCCCCTCCCACCCCCAGCACAATCGCGGCCATCTCCCCACTGAGGCGGGGGTGGGGGGAGATGGCAGCAATTGCGGTCACCACCCAATGCGGAGTTCGTGATCAGAGTCAAAATGTTTATGAAATATCTGTTTGTGACCCAATTTGGTCATGAACTGAGGTGTTTGTGAGCCGAGGTACCACTGTACTTTAGTTTCCTCCCACCAAGTACTGTAATGTTTAACCATTCCATTTGTGTTTTACAGCTTCCAGTTTGCCTTGATTCATACTTCTCACATTTCATGTTCCAGTTGAATATGTTGTGTAGCATCAGACTTTCCTTTCACCTCTGCGCATGTCAGTCACTAAACTTTCTTTCTACTGTAATCTAGTTGTTTCATAAGCAGCAGTGCTATTGGTACTTGTCCTTCCCTTCAAGGGCCTTCTGACATGGGAATCTCATGTTCTGGTATATCTCTTGTTTAATTTTGGATTGTTTCATCATAGGGTTTCCAAAGTGAGAAGATTCAGTAGTAGTTTATCATTTCCTTCTTCTTTGCAGTGCTAATCAGAGGTACCTTGAGCATCACTGCCCTTGTCTGTGCCAGTGTCACCTTCAGCTTTTGCTGCTACCTAGTTGCTGCCCTTTCTCCACCCCCATCACCATTAGAGATATCAGTTTTCCTGTTCTGATAGAACCATTCCTCCTGAAGAGGGTGGATGAGTCTCACTCTGGTATTTCTGCTTTAACCATTCCAGGTTGGGTGACCCTGATAGGAGACCAGCCTAGTGAGATAGTCTGGGCTCCTGGTAACATTGCTCTCAGCTTTTCTGACTCTCTGAAACCCCCTCATCATATCAAGATGTGCATCCAATATACACATACTGAATTCAATGGGTTTATTGTTGAGTTGAGTAAAATGAATGAGGAGAGGGTGGTGTATAATATGCAGAAGGGACACATCTTGGTTTTTGTAAATAATTTTATTCATAAGTGAAAGTAAAAAACAAGATTTTTCCTGGTATAATTTACAGAGTTTGCAATATATGTTCCACATTTTTCATTTATATTTCCTAAAATTATTTCAATATATTATGGATTTCTTCAAAAGGTACCAGAATTATAGCCTCAGAGCTTCTTCTATTTCTGCTTTCTTTTGTTACAAACATGCATGCGTGCACACAAATTTCATCAGTGAATGCTGCTCATTGACCAGGGCCATCACAACTAATGCATTTACTAAGGCCATAAGTTACATTCAAAAAGCTTCCCTGTTTATTCACTCCAGATGATAATCTTTTTTCAATTTTTTAAAGATCTGTGGCCTATGGACTAAATTTCAAAGCTCCTCCCCACAAATCCATGCTGCGAAGCTTCACCACAAGCTTTAGATTCAACTTTCTTTTTCTTATGAGTCCAGAACTGTCATAATAGTTTCAAAGATTTCACCAAATGTTAGCCAACTGTGGTATAATTTACATTTTTTCACAATTACCTCATAAGGATGATGATCCTGATAACAGCAACAACTAAAAAATTGAATACTTTGTCCAAAGAAAAGAAACCTAAGAGTATTGGTTAAAGTGTTACATCAGAAAGTGAAAGAGGAATCTAATGTAAGCATTGATATTCTGAAAATTGCATATTGAATGCAATATTGTTGGCAATTAAAGCAGATGAGTCCCAAGCCAATTCATATACTTCTATGGGTTTATAAAAAAGAAACCCATTCACTTACATTTAATTGTTGATCAAATGGTTCATGTCCTAGTGTCCATGTTCAAAGTACACAACAGGGGAAGGTTTTCTTTTAAAGGATTTATTCTTGAGAAGACCAACAAATTCTTGGCAATCAACAAATTGTTCCAGATGGCACTTCTGAGCAGTCCTCAGTTGGCCCTTTTAAATATTGATCATTAAAGGGTTACATGTAACACAACTAACACTTTCCAATAGGTTACAGAAGTAGAAAGTTGCAATGGCATGATCTTTCCCACTTACACACCAAAGAAGATGCTACTAAGAAGTGAGGAGAATTTTATTTTATTTTTTAATTTATTTTTCGATTTATATCCTGCCTTTTTCCTACAAAGGGCTCAAGGCAGCTTACATCTCCTCCTCCATCATATCCCCACAACAATCCTGTGAGGTAGGTTGGGCTGAGAGTCTGTGACTGGCCCAAACTCACCCAGTTGGCTCCATGGCTGAGCAGGGACTAGAACCCAGATCCTCTGAGTCCCAGTCCCATGCTCTTAACCACTACACCACACTGGCTGTCCATGAGGAGCTATTACATAGAAGAGGAGGAGGATGGGGTGGGCTGGTGTGGATCGTCCTTTGCTTGAACTGCCCTTTTTTTTTTTTTTTTGGTCAAGTGCCAACTAGTTTTCTTTGGACTGGTGCCTGGTCAGTGTCAGCTACATTTCAAGGATGCATACATACCAATTTCTAGAAAAGAGGGTTTTTCTTAGGCCTGGTTATGTGTCAATGATTTCATGATTTAACCAATGAAAATTATACCTATTGATCAGTACTTCACAATTCATGTACTTCGTTTATTAAAAAAAAAGAAATCTATTCACTTGCATTTGAAAATAAGAAATGATGCTAATTTGTAGCATGTTTCATGCCTTTCTTATCCGTCAACAAGTTGACAAGTTACTTCAATTCAAATTCATCTCAAAGGCCGCTACAGCTAAAAGTGTAAATGCGTAATGCATAAGGCGGTCTTAGCCTATCTGCCTCTGCTCCCTCTGCTGACGATTTCCCCCTCTCACACAATTTGACATCACTTTCAACGCTTGTCTTTGCCGCTGGAATCATAAGCCCGTCCAGGAGAAGCAGTTACTTGAAACAGTCCCAGCAAGACCGGCCTCCTCCTCTTTTCTAGAAACTTCTGAGCCTCTTCCTTCCAGTCCGTCGTCGGTGGTGGCGCTACAGAGAAGGCAGCGAGCTTGTCTGGCAGACGGAGAAAGAGCCTTCCCTTCCTTTCCAGCGGAGACGAAACAGGCCCAGCACCTCGGTTGAGGAAGAGTCGCGGTGGTCGCCGTTAAGGGCTGAGTGGCAGTCCTGTAACACCGGCTGCGCTTGCACGGTCGAGTGGTTGGTTCGAAGACGAGCGGACGTCTCCCCAGCTCCGGTTCCTCGCCTGAAAGAAGAGAAGGGTGATTACCATGACCGCCGAAGAAGGGAAGGCCGAGGAGATGACCGCGGCGCCGGAGGGAGAGGGAGGAGTGGATATTACCCCCAAAAACGACGGCGGAGTCCTCAAGGTATCGCTGCCTGGACGAACGGATTGCCTGAAAGAAGGCGATGCTAATGGCGGCGGCGGCGGCGGTAGTGGTGGTGATACTTATGGTTAGAACTTACACGGGTTATTTCCAATCTTCCGCGCGCCCATGTGCTGTATCATAGCAATCTTTACAACAGCTCGCAAGGTAGGACAATATGATTGACCCCCCCCCCCCCCCCCATATTGCGTATGAGAGGCTGAGCAGTTTCAGCACACGGAGACTGCGTCTACCACTTACTGGAGTTAACCAAGGGACTTCCTGGTAAGTTATACTACAGTGGAAAGAAAAAAAGTAACAACACCCCCCCCAAAGTGCTTTGCACATATTATCATAGTTAATCCTCGCAACAGCGCTATGATATAAACTATTGTCGTTCCCATATTTCATAAAATTGGGTTGAAGCTAAGAAAACAGTGGCTTAGTTAAATGCCATTGTGCTGAGTTCAGGGCAGGAGCAAGATTCACTAGTAGCTTTCTCCATCATAGCTTGTTCCTTTAATGTCTAGGGTTTCTCTGCTGTTTTCAAGCACGTCCAACATTAGGCAGTATTCCAGTAGGGAGAAGGGATTGAGATTTTGTGGGAACCTGGAGAGGAAACAGTGGCTTGCTTGGGGAACAGTGGAGTTGCAGCTGTGCATTGGATGTCATCTTAGAAGCATTGTTTTAATTTGAACCTGAGTGCTCAGACTCCCAATTTATCAGCGCCAGGTTTCAGCCTGAGCTTGTGTGCATTGCCTCTGAGCATGCACACACTGCCTCTTTCCACCTCATCTGTAAGGTTTGCAATAGGCTTTTATTGCAGGGAGAGTTGTCTTCTGTGTCTCAGAAACAACCTGATACGAAATTGAGTTGGTGAATCCCCTGCCATCACTCACAGAATTTTTGCAGGTCAAGCTGATTGACAGAGGAGCATGGCCAGTCTTGTTTGTTTGTTTGTTTAAATGGCCACTCTGCTTCCCAACAAGCAGGTTTGGCTCACACCTTCAGAGTTTCAACATGGGATCCATATTCACACATCACAGAAATATGTTGACTTCCAAGCAAGGCTGAGTCTAGTTTCTTCTTTTTCGGAAAAATGGTGTTCCTTGAAATCCATCCCGTGTACCAAATTTTCTTCTGTTGGTGAAACAGATTTTTTTATTCACTCTTGGAGAACTATTGTATATGATTTGGTGAGAGGGTTGTGATAAAGTCAATAGAATCATAGAATAGTAGGGTCGGATGTGGTACTTAAGCCTTTGAGGCACTTACATAGGAATATCATGGCCCCACTCAGTCTTCTCTTCTCAAGGCTGAACATGCCCCATTCTCTTAGTCTCCCAATTCTCCCTTCATGCTTGAGGGAATCTAGTGACTAAATTAAGTTGGCATAGAGATGTGTTGTTTGTAAAGGAAGGAAATGCATCTTGGTAACTGGTATTGCTTGTTTGTGTGAGACCTGATGCAGGAAGGGAGGAAAGGAAACTTTTGTGAGATCAGGGTTGCTACTTCATTAAAATCTACTAAACGGTGCAATGCACACCGTAATGTCATCATTCAGTAATCAAGTACAAGTTTTCTACTATGCCACATTCTATAAGGCTATGCAGTTACCAGATTGCTTTCTGCACAAGAGATTTTGGGGGGGGGGGGTTTCTTCAGCAGTTAAATATTAGCTTTTCTGTTGGGTTAGAATAGGTGCATACAAGAGTCCTGTATTTTCATTTTGCAGTGCAGAATAATGTTTCTCGGAAGGATGCAGGTGCTTCCATGTGTACACAAGTTCCTGAGAGGGCCACCCTGAGTGGCAGTAAAAATTTGATGTAATTTTTTGTTAGCATTTTTCTAAAAATGGGTTATCTTTTGTCACCTACTAAAAATGATTAAAAATAAGAAACCAAAAAAAGTGTTCGGGCTTTTGAAAGTATTACTATTACTAATTACTGAATATTCCATATTAATCATGTAGAGCATTTACAGATATTTTAGTAATATTCTGTTGTTTTCATTCTATGAATAGGAAATCAAACTGGATGGCCCCAGTGTTCCAGAGGGAGTCTTTGTTGAGATGGAACTTAGTTCTCCCAGATCAAAGTCTGAGTATATCAGGAATGGAGCAGGGTGCTTTAGTCACCTGCCTGTAAACAGTAACCTATAATTCTGAAGATTTGTGGCTTTGTGGTGTGCATGAATGTGACTGCTGTATTGACCATCAGATTCATTTAGGCTTTTGACTTGTCTCACATCTTGATACAGTGGGTCCCACACAAATAAATCTTGTATTGTGTGATCATTATGAAATGTTAATACTTTGTATGTTTTAAGCAAGTTGTCCCCTCAACCTGATGTCCTCCAGGAGTTGTGGCTTGCAACTTTCATGGTTTCTCATTGTTGGCTCTCTGACTAGGGCTGACAAGAATATAGGCCAAGAATATGGGAAGTGCCATATGTTTTCCATGTTTGTTGTGGATCACAGGTGGGTAACCTACAGCCTTCCAGATATTTTGGCCTACAAATCCCATTGGCTCTAGTCAGCACAGTCAATAATAAGGGATTATGGGGAAGTGCGCACAAACTGTACTAAAGAAGAGTAGTAAATAATTATCGGGTATCCACAAGAAATTATTTGAGGAATTCAAAACAAAAGGCAGTAAAATTGGCAGAAGCTACCAGTTAACAGCTGTTTAAGAGTGTGTGGTATACTAGAGGATTGCCTGTGTTGAAAATACCTTTTGTGACTGATAGATTTGTATGGGAAGTCCACAAGATCATTGACTGGTACAACAGTAGGGCTAATATTATCTGTATGGCCCTAGTAATGGTGAAGGAATAACTTGTGAAGTCTAGGCTATATGACAACAAATTCTGGGCATGGGAATGCCCTCTCTGTGGAATGTTCCCATGTTTCTAAAGTAAGGGGGAGTGTACACTTGAGGGTGCTATTTGTAAAACTGAGTGTCTGGAATCTAATTCCTTTTACATTGGTCGCAGAGGAAGATCTCTGTGAATTAATTCTAAAATGTACTGATTTCCTGGAAATGCTACTGAATTTCAGTGCCTTCTCCCTTGAAGTTGAGGAAAGGATTTGGTCTCTAAATTGCAGTGAATTTGGTCTGATCTCTCTTAGCATGCAAATGATAATGTTGTGTACAAGAGGAGGTTGAGTATAGCATAGAAACAGAGCAAGTCAGAAGGAACCTCCCAGGCCATCTAGCCTGACCCCCAGCTCCAACCAGCTTCACTCATAACATGCCTACCATGTGCATGTCCAACCTGTACATGAACACCCTCACCAATGGGGCTTCAACCACCTCCCATGGAAGCCCATTCCATACGCTAGTACTTCCTGACATCCAGATAGAACCTTGGTTCCCTGAGCTTTGCTTCATTGGAACATAACCTGCTGTCCACCACCAGGAAAAACAGGTGTCTACCCCCTCCCTGTGACGCCCCCCCATGTTCCTATATGTTGCCAACAGATCCCCTCAGTGTCCTCTTCTTCAGGCTGAAAAGACTCAGTTCCCTCAGTCTTTCCTCATACAGCTTTCCCTGCAATCTGGCCACCATCCTTGTGGCCCCAGGCTGCACCCATTCGAACCTGGCTATATCCTTCCTGTAATGCAGAGCCCAGAAGTGAACACAATACTCCATTTGTGAGCGCACCAGATCATATAGAGTGGCAGTAATACCTCTCTTGATCTAGAAGCCACTCTTTTGGTTATGCAGCCAAGGGTGTCGTTTGCCCTCTTAACTGCCGCGTCACACTGCTGACTCATGTTTAGCCTGCAGTTGACCAGTACCCCGAGGTCCCCTTCACAAGTGCTGCTCTCCAGCCACTTGTCCTCCATTCTGCACCTATGGCACCCTTCCTATGTTCCAAGTGCAAGACCTTGCCCTTATCTGCATTGAACGCCATGCTGTTGTCCCCTGCCCACTTCCATAGTCTGTCCAGATCCTTCTGGATCTAGAGTACCTGCACCTCAGTTCTGGCCACCACCCCCATTGTAGTATCACCTGCAAATTTCAGCAGCAGACATGTCACCCCCTCTTCCAGGTCATTGATGAAAAGATTGAATAGCATCTGTCCTGAGACAGAGTCCTGGCAGACCCCACTCATCAGTGGCTGCCGTCCCAATGATTCCCCACTAATAGTTACTCTCTGCTTTTGGTCCTTCCACCATGCTCTAATCCATCAGACAGTGCATTGGTCTATCCACAAACTTCTCAATTTCTCAACCAGTATATCATGTGGCACTTTGTCAAAGGTCTTGCTGAAATCCAGGTAAACCACCTGGGGACACATCCACTGTGTCCCCGCCATCTAGCCACCTTGGGACCTTGTCATAGAATTCCACAAGGTTGATCTTCCACCTGTTTTTGTGGAAGCCATGTTGCATGGCCGCCAACCTCCCTTCCCTATCTAGGGTTACTACATTGCTTGCTATTATGAGCCTTTCCATTGTCTTTCCTAGAATTGACCTAAGGCTAACCAGTCTGTAATTCCCCATGTCCGTTCTACTACCCTTTTTCAAGATTGTGACCACCGGCCACCCTCTGCACCTGTTCTCCACGAGGCCTCAAAAATGGAGGCCAATGGATGCGAGAGTACACCCTCAGTACTCTTGGGTGTAACCCGTCAAGGCCTGGAGCCTTTGAAACACCCAGTGTCCTGGGAAGCATGAAGACCCATGCTGATTCAGACCAAAAGTCTGTCTCCTGCATAGTAGGAACACATATTTTGGCACACTTTCACTCTGGAACCAACATTTTTCATAACTCCTGACTGAGGATGTCTTCCAGCCTCTTCTTCCTCCTCCATTGCTCATAACTCTGCTAGTAACAGGGCAGTTAATGTTATCCTCAGCCATGATGATATAAACTACTTTCTTACATTTTCTGCAACCACTCTTCCATTGCCAAACAGCCGATCCTTCTCCATCTTCTTGAGGAGTGTTATCGGCCAGACTCCGGAGGACTACCTTCAGACTTTGCTTCCTGCT